CCTCAGCTTGTCTGTGAGGGTGTTTAAGAAGAGGGTGTTGAACTTCTTAGCAGAGACAAGATAGAGAACATCTGATATTCTTCTCTCATCCATCAAGCTAGCCAACTAATGAAACAAGGCCATCAGGCTGGTCAGTCTTGATTTGCCCTTTGTGATTTCATGCTGACTATCCACAATCACCCCCTTGTTCTACACATATGTTTGGAAATAGTTTCCAGGACTGTTTGTTCCATCACCTACCCAAAGGTTGAGCTAAGACTGACAGGCCTATAGCTTACAAGATCCTTTTCCCATCTTGAAGATAGTAGTGATAATTTTTCTTCCAGTCTTGAAGAACATCTCCTGAATGCCACGTTCCAAAGATTACTGACTGGCTTTGCAATGCCATCAGTCAACAACAGCTCATTTAGTATTCATGGGTACACCTCATCACATGCCAATAACTTTTACATCTCCAATTTATTTAAATGTTCCTTGATCAGGTAATTCTCTGCTGAGTCCTTGCTCCAGACTTTCCCTTTGGTCATCAGTGCACTACAGAAACCTCCAGGATTTCTCGTGCCCTACTGCATTGCTCAACCAGCAGATACCAGGATGGTTTATGTTCTCCATGAAAACAAGAACCTACAACTGGAAGAAGGCTTCATCTAATTCTTCCTGATCAAGAAGTCCATAGCAGACACCTACAATATCATGACATTGGTTGGGCCTCTAACCCTGAGCTATAAACTTTCAGCTTGTTCATCACCCATCTCCAGGCAGAGCTCCCTGCATATTCTGCTCTCTCACAGAAAGGGCTTGCTATCCTTCCTTGCTATCCTGCCCTGTGCTTCCATGGATTGCAGCACTCCAGTAATAGGAACTATCCCAGCACTTCTCTGTAATCATGATGAGACCACAGTCCTGCAGCTGCACAACAAACCTCCAATTCCTCTGGCTTGTTCCCCATGCTTTAGAGCACAGGCCATCTAGAGAGCCACACGCTTGTGCTCATTCCCCAGAAAAGGTATGACAGCTTTCCCTAAATGCTCTTCTCTCAATCACATCCTTATTCACGTGCACAAACTCTGGGTGGCTCCTCCCTGCCCTGTTTTGTTGTTTAGGAGGTCCTGGTTGTCTCCATCTCTCTGCACCCATTGCCTATCAACCCATCAACCACTTCCTCACTTGATCCCAAATCATCATTTCTCTACTCCTTCATTCCTGTTTTAGAGCTCAGGTGTACTGGAGTTAAGCTTCAGTGTACTGAAAGAAGAACAGCTGCACAAAATTTGTATATTCTGCTCTGCAAATCAGGGAAGAAAAGGTTTGTCAGGTAGAGTCTGACAGTACAAACTTCAATGACATACGGAGAACAAAATTCCCAAAAACCATATATAAGCTTGTGATACAAGCCATTCAGTGGCATGGCATAACATGTGAAATAAATTAGAACTGGTTTAAATCCACTATTACAACTCATTACATTATCCTCTTTCCTTGATAAGCTCATATAAAATATTTTAATTACACTTAAGCATTCAATTTAAAAAAGCGTGTAAAAACAGATTAAAATTTGGCACAGACATAATGATATTATATCACACATTGATCAAGATAAAAACCATAATTCTTAATAAGATGTGGTTTTCAAATTTAAAATGAGAGATAACTGTAATATTCCTAATGCAGGGGCAATTTGTTTGAAATTCAGATACAGTGAGACAAATTCACCTTAAAAAAAATTATTTAGTCTTTCATAAATTTAGCAGATTTTATTAAATCAGATTTAAGTGAAACACCTTATGGTAGCTTGTTCCTCCAAAACAGAAGCCCCCACCTCACCTTTACCATGCAGGATAGCTCCCTACTTAACAGCACCAAGAAGTCCAGGTATCTTTGCATAAACAGGCTACAAATGAAAAGTGGTCCAATGACAGAATCTGGCATAGTTTTTTATTTAGTTAGCAAATATCCTTCTTTGTCTGATCATGTCCATATGGTGCTGATTAATCATCATGGGTTCCTACTTATCAATCATTTGCATTAAACCACAAAAATAGTTCCTTCTGCTTCATTTAGGATGTGAGAAATGTTTCAGAGCTATACACAGTGACGTCTCCAACACATGCAGGCACAAAGTACTGCGTGACTGTAGCATGAATGCATAAAGACCATGGTCAATAAAAGCAAGTCTCCATAAAGAAGGACTGATAATTTGGCTTCACTCATTAAATACACACCAACTCCAAATTCACAAATCTGATTCTGATTCAAATCAGAAGTCCCAGAACTTTTTGTTTACACACTAAAAATTCCTGGTACTTTTTTCTGCACTTCCAACCGGAGAGCACAGCAGCCAGCCAGACTACCCAGAACAGTAACAAGAAAGATGCTTTGAATAATTTCATATACAGAGCAGCTTATCCATGTAAAGCCATTTGTTATAACACATACCTGAAAATGCTAAACAAATTAGAGAGCAAGAAGCTATTTTATATTCTTGTATTTAGAACTTGCATCAATCACTTCAGGTTACTGATCTGAGCCCCAGACTACTCTTCAAAATAAGGATACTTGTTGAATGACTCAATTTAGTGAAATGGCTAGAACTGAGCTACCTCCCCTCTGAGTTTCTATATGCTTACTAGGTTCATATCTAGAACATATATGAGAACAAAACTGGGTGCATAGAAAAGGTGGTTCAACAAACTTTGTCCTTAAATGTAACATTATGCTCACACAGTTGCCATGGCCACTGGCCAGACACACTTCCAAATGAAGATGATGCTGGATAGGTGGTTTCAGAATGACAAAAACAGCTAGACAAAAAATGCTACCCTTCCTGCTCAACCATCCTATCCTTATCCCATCCTGTTAGATACATGTTAACATTGGGTTCTTTGGAGGCAAAAATAAAATTTAAATTTCAAATTACTAATCAAACTTGAACTTAAAACTTCTAATTCCTTGACCTTAAAGAAACTTTAGCAATTGAGAGAAAGAATCCTTTTAATCTTAAATGTCAAAAGTTAAAGCAACCAGTCTCAACAAGTCATCTAGGGTTTCTTCAACAATTAATGCTAGAAAAGGATGATTCCCCTGCCTTTGACACCTGTCTGAAGATGAGGTGAACCATCCAAGATAATAAGTGTTTTTTTCCTTTTAATGGTGGCTTAGGTAAGCTAAAAAATAATTTAATAAAGGACTATTTTTAGGTGAATTCACTGAAGATACATAGCTTTTAAGGCTGGAGTTACACAGCATGAATCTCAAGATGAAAAAAATTGTTCCTAAAACAATCAACCCTTTCCCCAGTCTTTCAATTTCTTCCTCATATTTCTACTGAAGGAACTGCATTGTATGTTACTGCTACACATCTTGTTCACTATGGAAGTACTACTTGAATTTAGAGAAGATTAAAGCTAGCCATAAAGTGTCTGATTTCTGAGGTATGGATCCTGTGGACAGTATCAGAAAGGGAGGCATCTAAATTCCATTTACATCTCACTTTTCTGGTCTAGAGTGAAGCTGAACTGGAACTCCCACTGCAGACACTTGGCTTTGTATATTAGGTCATCCAATTCTGTACCCAAAGTGCTCTGCTACTCCTAAGAATGGAAGAGGTTGAGGATTTGACCCCAGGTTTCACCCTTGCCAGGCTCACACAAGGCTACTGGTTCTCCCAGTCCTGATATTAACAATCAGATATCCTGGAATTTTCAAGGAAAATTTCTGATAAAATCTGTCACACATATCTGTGGGGAAAAAAATCCTATTTTTGTTGAACCTGACAAGGACACTGTGAGAGGGCCTAGTTGAGAAAAATTCTGTCTGTGAAATAAGGTATTTTGGTATGAAAAGAGCCCCTTGTAAGAGTCAAATACTGAAAAGCTAGGACATGATGAAATGCAGCATTGAAGGACATGAATTGAAATTGCTTTAAATACATTCACAGTCACACTGCAGTCTTCTGCTGGATTGTGGCTTACTGCAGTTGTCAGGTTACATCTCCACCAATGTGAAATATGACTTTAAACACCCTTGTGAACATTCCTTGAAAAGAAAATGAGGTGTATCTAGCTCAAACACAGAGGCCAGTTGCTGAGTTTTCCTAACATCCCTTCCTTCTGCATAAACATACCAAACTCCTGCAGCTGATCTCAGACACTGAGTCTGTCTAGAAGTGTTTTGAGTGGTAAATGATGCCTTCCAGACTTATATTAGGCAGATTTCCTGGTAGGGATAATTTATTTTTTTTTACAGTTTATAATTCTTCTTGTGTTTTAGAAAACCTAAAGTCGAATTTTTGACAGTTCAGGAATTGGCAAATGTAATCAAAGACTACCAAGCTAATCCTAGAGCAGTTGTAGTTGCTGAGAGTTTTATCATCAAGTTAAATGAAAACAAAAACCAATGTGTGTATCTAAAAAAGCCCTAACCCCAGAATAGATTAGTATTAAGGATGAAAGATGTATTTGATTATTGATAATGGAACTGAATTAAACTACTTTTGAACAAGAAATATCAAAATTACTACATTAATACTAGTTTCAAATCTAGTAATTTCTCATATACATGAAAACAGCAAAATAAAGGCATGTAGGTAGGGAAAAATACTTTGAGGAAGAAAAACCAAACTTTAATGAAAAAACTGCCTAACTAAAAACATCTAGTAATATTTCCGCCGTAATACCTTACTGACATACTGATTACACTGATTTTTAACCAACAATGAGAGGACAGCCTGTGTTCAGGTTCAAGTGGGATGAATACATTAATCTATCATCTTCTCATGGGAAGTTTGCTTTCTGTTTAGGAAGCACAACTGCAAAAATATTGTCATCTTAGGCCAGTCATGGAAGACAGTTTATATGCGCATAAGAAGACGGTTTATATGTGCATAACATTTTTCACAAATTCTTATGCCGTGGTTATCCAGTTTCGAGGATTTCTGGTTGTGTTCTGGCACTCAGTGAAAGAGGGAGTGTGATGCAATTGAAGCTGCATGGAGAACTCACCTGATCCTGCCCCGAGGGCGCTCAGATTGCTCTGACATAAAACTTGTGCTGCTGAGGCGAGAGGCACTGCTGGTTCGGGAAATGGCTGACACATCACTGACATCACTATCTGATGATTTGGCAGAGACGTTATCACAACTTCTGTACTGATCTGTTTGTATGTTATACTAGAGATCAAGAAAAGAGAGGGTGAGGAGTCTCATCAAAACAGAACACATTCATCGAGACAACACAGGACCTAAGAATGGCAATTCTCTTTAACTGCTTTTAGATATAACAAAATTGTATGAAATTCGAAGACATGCCTACATTAAATAATGCTTTTACATCTAGTGCAGAAATGAAACATGTTATTTATGGACTAAAGAAGATACTTGGAATAAAATAACACATTGGAAATTAAATAGGCTGTTGGTTCTTCAGCACACTAGAACTTACAATAAAGAAATATTATATAAAATATTTATGCAGCAGACAGACATCTCAAGAACATGCATACCATCCATCTGGATATAGACTCTGTTTTAAGTTTTTAAAATATTAAAAATATATGCTATGAAATACCTACACATAGCACTGCATATGAGCCTGAATGAAACGTAAGGCTACATGAAGGTATTAGGGACTGATATCAGTTCCTAAACTCTATAAAAAAAGAAAAAAATTACATTTTCTATCTCAAAATTTCTCTTTGTATTGTGATACTAGAGGACTAGTTAGGCAGAAGGCTGACTCAGTAAATAGAGAATTTTTCCAGGTAATTCCTTGATCTAGTTGCTTTTACATCTGCACACACCTAAGAACTAGCAGAAGACCCAGCAGGAGGAATATGTGGACAAACATAGAAGTTACTTCACTTTTCAAATCAACTGTGACACCACACCACCTAATGCTCTTTATTGCTCATATCATCAGCCAGACAGGTACAAAAGGAAGCTTCAATCCTAGCAATGACTTACTTTACTTACCTAAATCTTCACTCACAGAGACATGAGGACCAAATAGTTTTCAGGCTGACAAAACTAAAACTCACTGTCATTAGAGGAAGGTACTCTTGGCTGGAAAGGAACTAAACCAGTGGCATACTTCCCAGGGTATATTATGGGAAAACTATTAACACATAGGAGCACTAGGCAGTTTTTGACATGACACTCTAGAGAGTTCATTTTCCAGATCTGTGCTCTGCAAAATTACAAGTGATAAAAGTTTATTTATGAATCATACACAAATCTCTGGCTGTCTGTGAACATACAAACTCCAACTAGGCACTGGGCTGCTGGCTGAGTCACTCAGCAAATGCCATGACAATTTCAAAAACCTGGCAAACACAAGCTTGGGTTTGTGCAGATGAGTGTATCAGGTCTCCTTTCCTTAAGCCAGGTTTAGCTTCTCTTGCTCCAGTGCCTGTCAGCAGCTATGCTTGTGCACACTTGGAAACCTCTTGGTAAAACATTGAACATAAAATGAGGAAGTCAACAGGAGTAGAGAAGGGGAAGGAATAAAGCAATTCTAAGCAGCAATTGTAAATATAGAAATCTACAGGACAAATGGAGGTTATACAAATTTACTGTCTCTCTGTGTCTCTCAGGTGTGCCTTAGAACACTGCACTAGAACAGAGCAGAAACTCTAAGCAATACCCTGTGAGGGCCTTGCAGTGCCTAATTAAAAACATCTGCAGGAGACAAGGCTGTAACTAAGAAAATGGGTAACAGAAAGGACTCAAGTACCATGATGCTCAAAAATAAATTCAACTACAGCAGGAATCTACTGGGAGGTTCTCTTTACAAGTGAATTGTGACTTTACTGAATATAAATGCCCAATGGGGTGAGACTATGCTGATATGTTTATTCAGATCACCTTTTGTTAATGGCTTGTAGATTCTAATAAACAATTTTGCTAATTGCTATCCTTCAGACTGCAAGATAAAATGGTAACTCCAAACTGGAAACACAAAGCATATTAATTCTTATCAGACCTATTTTATAATAAGATATCATGTTTTCCTTCTAAAGTCTAAAAAAATATTCAAAGCAAGAATACAAGTTTGAAAACTTTTTACTTAGGCTAAAAATTCAGAGGCTAGAAAACTGAATGGTTAATTCTCTCCAGCATAGGTTAAATTGCCTCAGTCCTGAATCAGACTTGATGTTTTATGCAAAATTCCTAAAGAATTCCTAATGAATCCCTCAAGCTCTAAATGAGACATGTAAAAATATGAAAACTCTCTGGACACATGGAATGATCAGACTTTCCATTAATCTAAACGGATTTTCAATCTGCAAAATCATCCCATTAAATAATAAAATTTCTATTGATTTCAATGAAATAGGGATTTCATGCATCCCATATATTGAGATTATATCTACAAATTAATCCTTTGAAGTTGAGGTTTCAAAAATTCTTTGTTTAAAATATAACCAAGCAATCTCTCTCAAATGCATGGGGTTTCTTAAGTACAGCATCAGACTGTTTCAGAACCACCTCCATGCTTAATTTGTATTTGCTGAAGACAATCTGACTTCTTCCCTCTGCCATTATAATGTCCAATTACTTCTCTTCCTCATCAAAAAGTCCATATTCTCTTTGTGGCCTTTGGTTTGAGAGTGTACACAGTGAACCTGCAGTGGTAGAAGGCTTAGGTGGTCCCTGAGCAACCATGACATGCTGCTGGAGAAGGCAGACTCCCCCACCAGAGAACCACCAAGGCCAGATGCAGTGACTTCTGGAAGCTTTCCTGCTGGAAGCCTTCCTTCTAAATATTGAGGGAGGTTTTGGCTGCTGGCCTTGGTTCCAAGCCACACCTGAATCAGGATGCTAGCACTCAATTTATGATTCAACAGGTGGACTGGGTATGTCATGAAAAAGACCCCCTGTTTCACTTGTACTGAATTTGTTCCACCTTTCATGGGGTATCCAGGTGGGCTGGGAAGGATGGGGAGAGGGGAGAGAGGGAAAGCATCAAGCATGGTTGTGCACCTTACTGGTTAGAATACTGTGAGAGAAGTTACAAGTCCCAGTTTGTGTATCAGTGGCTTTTTAGAGGTTCAGCCTCATCAATTGACTGTTCAGTATCAATATGAAACCATTTACTGGTGCAGGAGTCTTCAGCCCAGGTATCATCCTGTAAGTGGCAGCTATATAGATACCCTCACTCTGTTTTGCTCCTTATAATCCAGCAGTCTGAAAAATGAAATTGTTTTGTAGATATCAGACTGGCTTAAAAGACAGTTTTTCATATGTTGGTAAACAGAATTTTACAGTGACATAAGACATAAATAAAAGACTGAATGCATGTCTTCTACTTGCCTTGTATTGCAATCACACTGCAAAAAACATCCTAAATGAGATTTTCATGGCATGGCTGAGCTTTTCCTATCCCTTTACACTGTATGCCACGGCTGTGATTCCCAAGAAACTGAAAACCTTTCCCTTCACAGAAATAGAGATTAGCACAAAAAGTAATGATGCTGAAAATTAATGCTGAGTGCTACAGAGTTTGCATTTTCCTACCACTACTTCTGGATTTAGCTTTTCCTTCTTATACCTGCTGCTTCTAATTAATTCACTGACTTCTACAGGAGGCATACAAGTTGTTCTAATGATTTCCTACCTGCCTCTGATACAATCTGATAATCAGTCATCTCAGCTAGCAGATGAACAAAATTAAGGCAATTTTGAAGTTAACCTTTTTCCCTTCAAATACAGAGAGAAATAAATCGTATTATTCCATACAGCAGTGCTCATTAAAATGAGAATATTTTACTACTGCAATACACCTGAATGTACAATTCAGAAGAAAAATAACATGGGCTAAGATCCTCTTATATGGTACCTGCAATGAAGTAATGTCTGCAGGTTTCCAACTGGGCTCAAAAATAATATGATAAAGTTCTATGGTAAAGCAAAAAACTGCTGCTCTTTGAAACCGCACATATATTTGCAATAAGTTTCCCTGAGATATTATATTTAAACATTGCATCATTTTGAATCTTCAAAATGAAGTATATTTTCAGTGCAACCACTTCTCTTTCAGCTCTATATCTTAAAGCTTATGTAACATTTCTTTTCCAAGGTGCACTATTCATCACATTAGGAGAGTCACTGAAGTTTGCAGCAACTTCAATAGCAATTACTAAAGAGTAGGTCTGGTTTTTTAAAAATTAATAACAACTAGTTTCAAATGCCAAAATTATCTGTGCTTTCCTTGCCTGCATTACAAAAACAGACATCTATAAACTGCTGGAATGCAGTTCTTCCATTCACTTTATGACCTGTGGAACTGTTGCTTCTTGCTCACCAGCAAAATGAGAAAAAAGGGCTATGATGAACTGCAGATCTGTTAACATCAATGGGAAGAGCATAGCCACAGACAAAAAGAGTGTACTTCACAAATTATTTTACACCTCCTTCATGACTAACAATGTTAGCAATTTTACTGATTATAAGGCACATCTTAGAAGTCATTTAACAGTTCATTATAATTGGATTATCTTTCATATTAGAAAGTATTTCTAATATGAAAGTATTTCTATTCCTAGATTTAACTCCCAAAACCATGAAGAATACAAGAGTTCAGAGTGTACTGTCCTTTGACTGCAAAAAAAGCCCCAGGTGATTAACCTTGACAAATATATACCTCATTATGTGCTCAAAATGAGGAAATGAAATGAGAAAATAAAATGGGTTTAAAATGAGGTCATTAACATGAGGAAAGGGAAATACAGACCAGATGCACAGATTCATTCAGGGACTACAGAAGTCTTGAGATCACATCTGTCTTTTGAGGCACTCTAATGAGGAATTTTGTCAGAAAACACTGAATCCTGCGCAAAGCACCTTGAGTTTTATGATTGCTCACATGGGGTTCCTCTGAAAGCTGCTTGCATTCACAGCCCAGCAGTTGGCACCTCAGGCTGTTCAGGGCTCACCACTGACTCCCACCAGCTTCTGTCTTAGGAGCAGCTCACACCATGGTCCAGGGGCCACTAAGCAGCAGTGACTCTAAAAACCCTTCCTACAATTGTATCCAACTCCTATGAACACGGCTCAGCTTCCAAACAGGGAACAGTAAAAATGAGTGAGTCAAACCATGAGGAAACTGCAGTGAAACCCACAGGTCAAATGAATGGAACTCACTAAGTTTTGTAAAATCCAGCCAGCACTGGAGTGACTGCCATCTTAATACAACATATATTAAAGATTTTTTTCTTCAAGGTGGGGGAAGGGGACCAAAAAGTATTTATCTATGTCCAAAAGTATTTTCTATATACAGCCCTAGATGCCTTACCCAGCATAGCTTAACATACCCAGCCTCCTATCAGGTCAAGTATCCTACCCAGCCCCTGCTTTAGACATTAACTGCTAACACATAAGAGTTAAGACAGAAACTATTGAGCTAAATCCACAGTGCCACTGAACAAATGCCATGATTACGCTTTTATGCTAAATGCTTTTCAATCACATACAGTCTTAAGTCAGTACTGCATCTAAATATAGAGTGACATCCTTTTTAAGTACAAACTACAGTGCTCTAATCAGTAACTCTCTTGAATAAACAGAACTTCAAAAAAAAATGTTAAGCCAGAGCAGCTGCAGCTTTGTGTTTGTATTCTACATGTGGCATCTGGAATAAAAAAACGTACTGTATTTTGAATTAAAATTGCATTACACTGTAATTCACCTGACCTCTGTGCAAATCCAGAATTATGCCACCAAATGTTTTGATTCGCTCAAGCACTGAAACAGCACAAATATGTGCACACTAGCTACTACACCTCACCAATATAAAAGAAAGAAGGCAGACATGCTTAAAGCTCTTATTCAAACTCTTTTGACATCCTCAGAGGTCTGGTGGCTTTTTAAATTCCCTTTTTTTAAATTTTTTTTAGCTTATTAGAAGTTAATTGTTTCACATAAATGATGGAGTCTTTCCACTGCACTGGGAGGAAATAAGGATGTGAGCTTTGTGAAAGCCTCAAAACAGAGTGGAACAGCCATGAAGACGTATAGAAATGTTGCAGGGCAGACAGTTGCCTATTCTAAATCCACTAATGGATGTTCAAAATGGAAACCTGCATAGTACACTTTTGGAAAATTATTGCTTGCTTACTGTAACTAGAAAATTAAGAAACTGAGTGGGAAAAATTCCAAAACTGTAATGCATCAGAAATTGACTGGAAATTGCAAAGGACCAGTTACAATATCTCTGTTTAAAAAAGGCTTGTTTCAATGTAAGAGAAAACTTATTTAACTTTCATGAATTATTTTGTATATGCATAATTAAGCGTTGCAAATATGATCCAGTCCCATACTGAAGGAAAAATTTTGAATAGTTTAGAGAATTTTGTATGCAATAAAACAAACATATTTGCAAATGCAAAAATATTGGAAGAATCAAACCCATGTGAGTTGATTGCTCTGAAATGCAAAATGGACTATTTTCTTAATGTTCAGTACAGTATAATTTCTCTTAAAAATGTATTTATTTTCTGGAGCAGTGGGAAAACACTGCTATTTAGGAAAGAAAGAAGCATTTTGGTTAAAGAGGGAAAAACTCTACTTGCATTTGCTTTTTTTTAATAGTCAGCTAATATTTCTTTTTCACTATTCCAGAATGCCTATTATACCACTTAATATTTTTAATTTCTTTAAATAAAGTTAGTCTTGTTTCTGCAGCTTTTGAAGACTTTTCACAAATTTTGGCAGCAGAAATTTGGTACAGTCTTCAGTTCTGAGAAGTCTCAGTCATCAGCTTTATCACAACAGCTGATATAACATACTACATTTTCAAACGTCCAAGTCTTCATCTGTCTTGTTTATTTTTTTGACTCTTTCACCATTTTCTCAGGATAGAGAAAGACAGTAGCATAGGGTTTGCTTTGGTAGCATTTTTAAAGTGATGACTATCACCACAGTGAAATTAAGCAAAATTCTGAATAGAATAATTCAGTGCTCTTTTGATTCAGTACTCATCATGATTTCTATTTTGATTTCCATATGCATTTAAAACCAAAAGAAGATCCTAAAAACCTCAAGGTTCTAAGAATAAGAGAAATTTGCAACATTGCATGTTGATGTTTTCTAACAACTATTTAACCATACATTGGATCTACACTGATCAAATAAGAAAAACATATTGGAGGGCCAAAACAATGCTTATCATAAATATTGGAGAGTTAAGATCAAAAAATATGTTTCAGAAAGATAAATACAAAAATATCCATCAATCTGTAACATATAATCTAACTGAGACACCTGGCCTTTGACTCTGAACAAAGGTCTCTGGTCATCCTGGCAAAAGTCCTCAGAGTGCATATTACCTCTCTCTAATGAAAATTTTATCAACCCTATTTTGACTATTTTCTCCTACCTTGTTAAATGGTTGGGAAGTACCACAGAGATGCACTGCATCTCACCCTCTTGCCCTGAGTGGACCTCTTTTGAAGGTAGCAGCAAACCCAGTAGCAATTGAGCTGCTTTAATTAAACAAATTCCTGCTTCTGATAGAGGATCTCATTGGAAATTTCTACCCCAGCTGTTGAGGTTTTTAATAGCACTGATATCCCACAATTTTGCCATTGAGGACTTAAAGCCTTGTTTCTCTTCCTTTTGAGAACTGCTCATTTAAGTTCTTATTAAAGTTGTCCACATATTTAACTACAACAAGATCTTAAATCAATCTTTCAAATCTGTTAGGTATTAAAATTTAGCTGCCAGATTTCCTATTTAACCATTCCTAAGTAAACTTGTGATGAGTACCTCACTTATACATTATTGTAACCTGTATCTCCAGGAGCATCCAGCTCCTCAGAGCTTGAATTGCAAGCAGCAGCGCAGATGTGTGAGACATGTCCAGAAGTTTGCTTAGAACCCTACACAGTTTAAATTACAAAGTTATGGCCTATCATTTTAGCCTTATCAAGAAAACAAAATCCCTCTATAAAACTTTGTTAACGTAATTTCAACGTATTCCACTATCACAGAAACTCTTTACACTTTTAGTAGAAAAGGAAATCAAAGTAATCAGTAGGCACTTCAAGAAAGAAAATAATTTATCTCTGACATTATTAGGATGCAAAAAAAATTATACAAATATGAGAACATCTGCATGAGATTGGACCTAGTTCTGTCTAGATCTCTCCACATCAGACAGCAACAAGGGCCAGCCTACTCTTTCATGGCCTACTTTTCCAAACTCCAGGGACTGGGAATCTAATGACTTCCTGAGATAGATGTGAAAAGTCTCTTTTTAACAACTGTTGAATGATCTTTCTTTCCTGAAATTTTTCTTTCCGAAAAGCTTTCCTGGAGTTTTTAAGCATATTGGTTTTTCTAGATTCATTTTAGTTCATGTCAAAGACTAACTCTATGGGGGCAAAAATGATGCTAAAAAGCTATTACTTGAAGACATTTCTGTCAGGATTTAAAATACAGTGTTCTTGAAGGTTATAAAATATTTTAAATAAACAAGTTTATGCCTTCAATTTTCAAGCCAAAGTATCATTCCAAGACTACTGACTTTACCTTGGTATATTGCTCACGCTCATGTTCTTGGCTAGAACCAGACCCTGATGTCTGATTATAACGGTGCACTTTCATTTTCATCTGTCTCGTTCGCTCCTCCACTACTAAGCTTGCTGCAAAAACACACAATGAAAATCAATTAAAAATAGAGAAAAAGTTTTGGAAAAAACAAATGATTTAGCAACAATTTTAGCTCATTTCTATTTCAACAAAACAAAGAAATGTACAAACATGTAGAACAAGCAGGGTGTAAGCACAGAACAGAGGACCACTAATGTCAAGAAATCAACCATTTTCATTGTGAGAGTCTTTACCTGAAAATGGGCAGACATCCCAATTTCTACATATAATCAAGCTGGTGCAACAGATATGAAAAGAGTGAAAAAATTTATGTGGCAGGCTGAATTATACACCTGTTAAATATTCTGGATGCAGGGGACGTAAATCCATGATCATCTAAACATGGGGTTGTTTAAATGTAGAAAATATTACAGTAGCATTCTAAGAATTAATGCATGAAACAGGTAATAAAATTTATTTTTTAAGTAATTAACTCCTCCTACTATCTTGAAACATAGCAGTTTAACATAGCTAAGGCTATTTGAGAGGAATAATTTCTCCATTCAACCAGTCATATCAAAAACACAGTTATTTTCTAGAAGTTTGGTTTTTCTTTAACAAGACCTCCTTTAAAATCACTACTTTGTCCTGCAATGATCACCTTTACTTCAAATAATTATTTGTTCTTGTGTTTTCAACTTCCATATGGCAGTGTTTCTTTAAAAACAGATATCTTGGCCTTCAAGGAGCTGTGGTGCTATAAAGAGCATTTTCTTCAACTTGAACAAGTTATGACAACTCATATTGGCTGTGCCTGCCACAGGCCTTTGACCTTGCACTAACAGAGAGAGTGTTGTAAATGCCCCTGAGCCAAGGCTTCCTTCAAGTAACTTAATCTTTGTGGTAGTAAGTAAATTTCAGAGCGATCTATATATTCTGTTATTCTCAAACTTTGTAGCATTTTAAATTCAAAGCAATACAGGTAACATCAATACCATGAAACCTGTCACTTTTTAGCAGTTCTAGAACTAGACCAAATATTTATCAGCAACTATTCTAAATCACAGGAGTATTTGCTACATTCATTATGGTTTAACAGGTTATAACATCTCAGAAAAACTTCTTTTAAGTTGGAATTTTTTATGTGTCATGAATTTAGTTTTATTTGAGGCAACCTCCACAAAATCATCTGCTTTTGTGCCAACCATGGATTTATATTACTCTCTACAAAACCACTATTTTTCTAAGTCAAAGCGCCCCTCCCCAGATCAGTGATAGGAGAGAGACACCTATATGAAAGCTGCCTGTAATCAACTTGCAATCAGAAAACACAGATAATTTCAAATTACTGGAAAATAAGTACTCTATGTATGTTCAATTAAGAGATACTAAAGTTCATATGTGTGGCTTTTATGCTGTTAGTTATACACTGTGGCTTTATTTTTTGGTCTGTGCTTTGCCAGCACAAAGATATAAGGCCAAAAAAAAAAAAAAGCACTACACTCAGGATTAGATATTTTAAACTATAAGCTACTGCACAAATCACAATTGTGCCTGCACAATCCATTTGTAGCATGCTTGGGGAAATGTCAGAATTGTCTGTGTGCTGGTTGGGTATGAAAATATATACAAAGGCATCATTGTGAATTCCTTCTGCACTTCTTATTTAAAAATAGGAAAAATAAGTACAACAAACTACATTAAAATTCTGCTGCAATTACAAATCTAAGGCATGAAATAAAATTATCATTATCTTCAGTCTCCCATAATGCAGAGTCCAATCTAGCAAATTCTGCACATGCAGAATGTCACACTGGGCCCAGCAATTATTCCAGATGACTAATTATGCCAGTAAATGTGTACCTTAATTGCAATGAGTCCAGTTCCACCATCAGATATGCAGGCACAGCTCCAATTACTTCAATGGAAGTTGCATGGAGGTATCTGAAGGCAAAATTGAGCACTTTAGGTGAAATTTTTAAAGATGGCCTCTTATGTTAAGGACAGATATGAAAGGATTAAGATAGATCAATTAGGGACTGAAGTAAAAAAAAATTGGTATCTTAATCCTATCATACGTGCATGAAATAGACTGAGGATATGAAATCAGAGGGAAAAATGAGACCCCTTTAAAAATTTAGCCCTACATGTGTATGGTGCACAGATTAGAGTTACTCTAAACATAACCTTTTATTTGTGTGAATTTTAGGTCCTTTAGCCTGTCAACTGTAGGTTATACTAAGTAATATATATGGTTTGTTACCCTGTATTACCTATGATACCTGGGAAAGAATATTCTGTTATGTAATTTCATGATACTTCAGAGGTTATTACTTCAGTCAAGACTGAGTAAATATTCAACCTTAATTGTGTAATTCTTGATTTTTATTATGTTTAAATCCTTAAGCTTAATACATTTATGCTCTGGTTTTTCTTTATATGTATATATATTACTATATCAAAGAATGTGAGAACAATTAATGAGCACTGTGAAGTAAATCTAATTCTCCAATGGAAAAATTTGATTTTGTGCATGAAATATAATGCAATTTAGCACCAATTAGCTGTGATTTTATTTCTAAGCATGCAGTTGCATGAAACTACTCTAGAAAATCCAACTGTGTTCCTTCCAGCTTTATTTACAATGCACATCTGAGCATATGTTGAGTGTAGCTCAGTTGTGTGATGGAAAATTTTATCTGCCTGACCAGTGGCTTGGGAAAACCTTTACATGTTCATCATGAGAAGCAGAAAAAAGTCTAACACAGGAGCAAAAGCACATTAGCAAAACTGTAACAACCATAGGTAACAACACCATATGATCACATTGCTTTCCTGGAACAGGGCTGGTTACCACAGGTAACAAAAACTTGACATAAAAAGTACTTAGCCTGTCTATTAGAAAAATATGGATCTACTTTGTTTAAGGACATCACTATTTACAGAGTGCTTTTCGTGGAGGTCTTGAGAGATAGAACTACACAGTAATTTACAGATCAAAGCACTGTAATCCCAAGACCTTTAAACTCTATAGTGGCTCTAGAATTAAAAAATTAAGATTTACCCTAAGTGTCTCAAAATAGTCGTAAAACTACCATCAATATCAGTTGTGTCAATGTGTTATTCTCTGGTGTCAGAAGTCACACTTCAAAGAGCTGTAAGTCTCATCTCTTCAAGGGCTGATAATTCAGACATGAGATCAATCAGTGTAAAAGTAATTGAGAGAACTCATTGATCAGACTACTTAAATAAAGGGTGCAACCTTATAGTCAAAGCTTACTACTAATAAACCACACGAAGGTTAGCAACAATGATTTACATAAACAATCAAGCCATGCAGGAGAGAAAAGACACACATATGAATGGAATCAAAATGTAATATTTCAATTCCATTAATCTATTTAAAAACCCGTCTGACTCCTGTAATGCCAGGTGTACTGGGTCTGGCTGGGATGAAGGCAGTTTTCTTCACAGCTGCCTGTTCTTCTAGTTGTGACTTAGTGCTGATAACACATCAGTGTTTTAGCAATTGCTGAGCAGTGCCTGTACAGCACCGAGGCCTTCTCTGTTCCTCATGCTGCAGCCCCCTGCCCTGTCCTGGCTTCCCCCTGCCCCAAGTAGGCTGTGAGAAGAAAAAGGTGGGACAGGTGACCCCAACTGACCAGAGGGACCATTCCATACTGTATAGCATCATACTCAGCAATAAAACTGGGGGTAGCCTACAATATGCAATTCTGTAGGACACTACTTGAAAGAGGCATGGAATAAACTAAAGAAAATAGCTACAGATCTTATTTTCACCCTGCAATCTACCCTCAAAGAAAATTAGGACAGACTAAGAGTTGTTTTGTCTTAAAGAAGATAGCCACTTAATTTTTCTAAGACTTTACCTGTTTACTAAGGTTTTATGTGCTAGTGACATTCCTTTAAATATATGACTATTATGTTAAGATTTACAGAGTTACATCTGGTGCCACTAACTAGCTGACAGCCCTCATCTTTATTACTATCCTCAGAAAACTGCTATGGGCACGTTTCAACCCCTAAATGATGTTCAACTGAGGGAGAAGTTAGAACTGGCTAGAATCCTAAATGTTCAGAATATATGCTATATTTTCAATTATGTACAAAATAGCACAATAATCAATATACTGTACTAATATATCAGATGAAGTAGGGCAGATAAAGTTTTCCTTTTTTCTTTAATAAAACCTTTCTAGACAGATGTGTCATATGGCATATTTCTGTTATCCACAGATTATGAATCTAACAATTCAAGTAATATGACTTTATAAGGAATTAAACTTGCATTAGCATCAACAATAGACCTATCCTATGAAAATCACTGAGAGCTACAAAAGCAGCACTAATAGCAGTGGCCAGTACAAAGGAAACAGAAGTAATTTTAAGGTCTAAAGTTCTCCTTTTAAGGTTTAATACAGGGTTTAAGCTCCATGCTAGATGCAAAATTCCCAAATGACATGATGCCTTAAACACCCATCTATTAGGCTAACAGCATAATATATGAAACTTTTGTGGGTTCGTTTAAATAAGGATTGTAGAACAGGCAGCAATAATGAACTAGCAAGAAACAGCAAAGATGCTGTAGCTGCCTTTCTAGTTCTAGTTTTTTTTATTCTTGAGCTCTAACTCTTTGCATATCCACCTCTCTCATATTGCAACATTCATCAAAGAGACTCTACAGTCTGAAAATTTTGGAAAACAGTGTATTTTGTCAATAAATAACATCTAATAAGAATCCTGTCATACATTTCAAAAAGGGTAGGCAAATCAGATAAGTAATAAGATATATGTTTAAAAGATAAAAGTCAAGTGATTAAGCCCAGGAACAAATTTCCATCCCTTGTACTCATTAAGTGAAAATACCTTTCTATAAGAACATTCTTGCTCAAAGCCAAGCATGGGCTTAATGCCAGAATGACTGGTGACATTACATGGTCTGTGATTCAAACTGGTAGCCATACTGTGCTTTTCTAGATGGTAGAAAACCTATGGATGTCTTAGCACTGGCCATACCATTTTCTGTAATGAT